TTTAATAAGTTGTGTGTTCCAAAAGAGCACCTTAAATTTAGGTTATAATTGTGCTAATTTTGATTCTTGGAATTTATTTCATTCCATTTATATTTGCCCCAAAACGTTTTGTAATTTATTAGTTTAAAAGCGTTATTTATAATAAATGGTGCCAATTGCAAATAAGTGAAAGTTAAAACTGTGATGATGATAGTATCTGTGTAGACAGCACGCTATGATAGCACCTAGTAAGTCTGTTCTATTGTTATATTAGCTACAACAGTGGTAAAACTGTTATTTCTTGTTTCTTTTAGATGAGGTAAATCTTTTTGGAGTAGCAGCACATGAGTTTGGACATTCGCTTGGTTTGTCTCACAGCTCTGTCCAAGGATCTCTTATGTTCCCATACTACCAAGAAATAAAAGATAATTTCCAGTTGCCTTATGATGACATGATTGGTATACAGCAATTGTATGGTAGGTGAAAAAACAAAACACAAACCTGTTCATTGTTAACAGCACTTGTACATTAACTTCCAGTCATTATAAAATGAAACAGAAACCTAGTGATTGTTTATTGGAATGGTATGGAAGGTGGCAGCTATTAAAACAAAGTACACACCATATTTATAATCATTTTATTTTAGGTATTGAGTAATTTTCCAAATGACTGACAATGATTAATAAATAAAACTATATTAGGCCAACTGTCTTGATTTAGTAAAATATATTCACAAATTAGAGGAATACTTCGATGATAATTATGCTTACTCAATGATTCGTTCTTGTTTGTTGAGACATAGTGTATTGAAAATGTCATTACCAATTTCTACTTAAAACCTTATAATAATACATATGCTTACCTCAGTAAAGGTTGCTTAGTTTGTAAGTATAAAGTTGTATGATGTATTTATATTATTATTAGATGTCATTAATCAAAAGCATTGGATGAGTGAAACACAAGGCTCTAGTAAAAGTAATCAGTTCAATTGAACCTAAATAAGTGTTATCCCTTAATACTGTCTTTAACTTTCAAAGTCTGACTGTGGGTTATTCTAAGACAGAATGGTAGCTTTTGAACTGGTGAAGTGATGTAAACTGAAACTATTGAATTCTTCTGTCTAGTGACAGTAAAAGTAGGACCTTGAGGGGGTTGAAAAGTTAACTGTTACCTTGCCCATTTTTATGCTTTCTAATTATTTGTATTAAGATTATCATATTACTTTATAAAATTCAATATTTTGTCTGAATTTTACTTTTCTGTGACTGTTTTAATGTTCCAGTTGAGGCTTATAGTTATAGTATCATTTGTTTCAGGTGCTAGGCTTCCAAAACCATGGCCAACAATGCCACCAATTACACATCCTCCTCCTAAAATTCCCCCACGAAAACCAATAACTACAAAAAAACCTGTTTGGCGACCACCGACCCAAATACCTCCTCGTCGTCCTACTTCCATCCCACCACGAGAAGAACCCAAACCAACACTTCCTCCCAAGTTTCCAAAACTTGATGCTTGTGAGACAAGTATAGATGCAATTTCAATTATTCGCAATGAAATCTTCATTTTCAAAGACAAGGTAAGTAAGCACATACTTACTACCATGTTTGTTTGTTTTTCTTTTTAGAACCCTGCATTAATGACCATAAAATAGACCAAACATATATTATATAGAAAAAAAACACTCAAATTTCAATATTCAGTAATTGAAAGAAAATTAACAATAAACTTATAACAATAGATAAGACAAAAATATCACTGCTACTATTCAGTCTTGCAGTAATAAATAAATATTAGTATTTATTACCACTTAACCTCACAGTTATTAATAAACATAGGCACCCATAAAAATATTTTTGGGGAAGGGGCAAAACGTATGTAGGGGATACGTTTTTACAGTTTAAGTCAACAGACTAAAAGAATATGTGTTATTTGTGCTTAAATGCAAACACAAATTTACAGTTTTAATAAAAACTACTAAAAAATATTTAGTTTAACTGTAATGTAAGGAGGGCAAATGCCCCCCTCTTGCCTCTTCCTGCAGGCACCAATGGTAATAAAATAGCAGTAATTCTGCAAAAATACCTGATTTTACAATACTTAATAAAACCAATAATGTAGTATGAAATAATTAAAAAATCTGAAGTAAATTAACAGTATGTAATGATTGAACAAGTAAGAACTTAACTAGGTCTCTCCATTCTCCCGTCTTTCATATATAGTTAATTTTTCATTTCCAGCAGATGACAGGGGGCCACTTAGGCTGGTATGAAACTTCTATAAACTGCATATAGAAACCTTTTTTTTTCTATATTCAACCCAGATATTTAAAGTATGTCTCCAACCTCTATAACCTCTTCAGTGTTGCAAATTTTGCTACATCCGAGGACAAACTTAACTGTGTAAAATACATTTTCCATCATACTTCAGATGAACATTATTTACTTAAGCCTGAGATCAATACTTTAAAAAGTAGCATCTCAGTAGGAAGTTAATACTGGCAAGTGTAATCACAGTTTTCTTTTGTTATTCATTTAATATTATAGTGTTTTCTTCAAAAGTTATTGTTTTACATTTTAACACCAGTTTTTGACTAGAATGCTTTGTTGATCACTTGCACAAATAGAGAATGTTAAAAAAACCTACAAATAAGTTCTCTTTTTTATTTTACAGTATTTTTGGCGTATGAATGAAAAAGGTTCCAGTCAGTGGGCTGGTTACTATCCAGCAGAAATTGACAAGTTTTGGTTTGGCGGTTTTAAGAAAGTAGATGCTGTATATGAACGTACCAATGATGCCAAAATTATGTTTTTTAGTGGTAAGTTTCTGTGTAAAGTTCTTTTGTAAATAGACATTCAACTGTATTTAATGTTGCAGTATTCAGTTGTCTTTATAGGTTGGAAACCTTAGCTTCATTAATTTGCAGAGAGTGGTGTACTAGTGAAGAATCACAGTTAAAAAGACCCCAAGTTATTTCAAAACATAGGAAAGAATAATGGGAAAGAAAGCCAATCGGCTCATCACCTACACCCGTTGACACAATTGATCTAAACCAGCACTTCTCAACCTTCACATTATCAGGGAGAGCCAGCAAACATCCTTGCTGGGCCCCTTTCTCTCTCTTTTTTAACATTTTTAAGAACTTATTAAAAAGAATATCTTACATTAGGACAGCAACGAGCTCATAAACAAGGGAAAACCATAGCAGCAGCTGTTTTTAGCTCACAGTATAAGAGTAAAAATGTGTTTTATGGCATAACTAGGTTTCATCTGCTTGAGCCGCTGGACAGTTGTCCTCTGTCAGTGGGCCTGCTGTTACAGAGCATTAAAATGCAAGTACAGGGAAAAACCATTATGATTTACATATGAATATTCTATCAATTTTTGTTTTGGGAAATATCATGGACCGGCAAGGTGGTTGTTACAGACCAGTGCCAGTCTGCCAACCAGTGGTTGAGAAACACTGATCTAGACAGAAATAAATTAAGTATACAAAACCAGTTTAATAAGTCTCCAGATTTTTTTTTCAAGTAAATGTCATTCTCATACTGAATCTGCATATATTGTTGCATTTATTGTCGATATTATTGAATAAATACAAATGTTAAACTGGATCTGATTATATGAAGATTTAAATAAGTTATGCCATTGTTGCAGATCTGTCTATCCATATAAAATTTTGTTTAGTTAGAATGGAAGGTCTTCTGTTTACTAGTCATGCATTACCAAATTTTATGCTTAATATTTTCTCAACAGGGAATAAGTACTGGTTGTTTAACGCAAACACACCAGAAGCAGGATACCCTCGTCCTCTAGTGGACCTTGGTCTACCAGCGAGTTTGAAGAAGATTGATGGAGCTATGGTATGGGGACACAATGGGAAGACTTACTTATTCAGTGGGGAACAGTATTGGCGCTATGACGAGACCGAAGGAAGAGTAGAACTAGATTACCCACGACATATGAGCATGTGGAAGGGTGTACCCTACAATATTGATGCAACTCTTCAGTACAGTGATGGTAAGTTACATCTGTGAACATGGAGGATTTTATATATGAGTTTGAATTATTTAGAATATTATCACAAGTTTAGGTGGTTGATCAATGCTGAGAATATGAGCATTTATTTAAGTTTAAATTCTTTAAAGCGTCAGTTATCCATATTTTTATACTTCTAAAGTGGTTGATTAGTGATACAGAAATATATGCAGAAAAACTTTACTAGATTTAGTTGGGATGTATTTTTCTTTCATTGTATGTTTTATTAATCAAGAGATATATATAAGAAACTCAAGAGTATTTCACATGTTATAGAATTTTTGTTGTACATATATATATATATTGTGTGTGTGTGTGTGTGTGTAGTTTTATTTTCTTTCCTGAAGAGAAAATGCATAAATAGTATAATTTCTTGATACATATTTTGATCTATTTCCTAGAATATGTATAGATTGAGCAGAATATACAAAAATAATAGTCTCTCTCTACAGAAGTAGAGACACAATATCTACTAACAGTAATGTCTAGTCTACCTGTATGAATTAAGTTTTGTTTCTTTTCAGGTAAAACCTACTTTTTTAAAGACAAGTATTTCCAGACTTTTGATGATCAAAAGATGAGAGTTAAAAACTTTCCAGCACAACGGATCTCAGAAGTCTGGTTTGGCTGCCCCAGCACAAATGAACGGTTACCTCCTCCAATTTGGAATCCTGCAGACAAAATTTATGATGAAAATTCGGTGATATCTACATTATTGAAAACTAATTATTTGTTTTGGTGGTTGGTTATTCTTTCATATTTTTTACAATTTTTATGGTATTAATGAAGTTTGTTTTGTAATTGATGGGAAATGAAGAGCAAGAAAAACTCGAGTATTTATACACACTTCGCTTGTTACACATCGTTAGAATGTCTCGGTAATATCTGAAACAATGTGATTATTATGTCCAGGTTTTCTGCTTTGCATGTGATTGAGTATTCTGTAAAGGAGAAGCTAGAGGAGAAAACACATCTTTTTCAAATCAAAGAATGAACAAAAACAAGATTTATGGTGTTCGAGTTAAGTCTTTGAGGATGAATTGGAAAACAAATAACACATTTCACTTCACCTGTAGTAACCTTTTTTCTAGAAAATAAAAATGTAGTTTTCAAGATATGTAATGTAAACTTGAAATTGATTACATAAAACTCTTGTCTAGGCTTGCACTTTTGTCCATTAAATATGAAGCTCTTCATCTGGCTTCTAGCCAATGACCTCAATACCTACAGCCAGATGAATTCTACCACCAGTATATAGCTTCTTCAGGATTATGAGTCTAGTGCAACAAACAAAGATGAGAAGTTTTTTTCAATGGTTTGAATTTTTACACATATTCTGCTGTGGTCTTCACAGTGTCAGTTCAGTGGATCAAACTTTTATCATTTAGTGAACTAGAATGAACATTGTCATGTCGTGGCACTGGTGCAAATCTAATGAAGTTAGTGAATATCTATGGTGAACTATTCTAAATCACTAACTGTTAATTTATGATTGCTCTAGAAGAGATAATCATTTTTTAAGAAAATAATACTTTCCTGCATGAAATCATGTAAAATTTGAATTATAAGCATTGCTTTGTAAGCTTTATTAAAATAGTCATCTGTGTTCTCGTGTTATAATATGTGAAATATGATATTTTCAATATACTGTGAAGTCTGTGACTGGTCAAAAGAAGAAAATAGGGTTTTATTGGTGAAGGAAAAGAAGAAAATAGAGTTTTATCTGGTGGAGGAAAAGAAGGAAATAGGGTTTAATCTGGTGGAGGAAAAGTGTGCTCTTCTGCTGCTGTGTTTTAGTATGCATTGCAATGCAAGCATACCTTTGAGTTTTTACCCATGTTATTACCGACTTTTAATGTTGATTTGTAAAATAGGACTATGTCCTAGTAAATCTCTTGTAGTGAAGAAACATTGATACTTTGTTTTATTTCATTTTTTCATGTAAATTTTAATATGTACCACAGATGTAAATTATATGTTGTAAATGTAAAATCTATAATTACTGTCCTTTTTTTTTTAATAGAATTTATCATTTTTTGTTTTGGGCTGTTCCAGTTGTGTCTTTGTAGTAGTTTTGAAAATCCAACAGTGTATATATTTATATGAAAAATAATTGATAGGCAAGGTTTTTAACTTCTCTGAGGTTAAATATCTGTCTTGTAACAATAAATATCCTGTTATTTATCGTATTTCTTAAAGGTTTGAGAGGACTGTTTAAAACATGAACGTTTTTTTAACATTGCCTGGTTTGATACTTAACTTGACCTTTCGTTTTTAATTGGAAGAAATCTGGAATGCAGTATCATAGATAAAAAAAACATAAATAACATTTTACTACAGACAAAGTAAAAAAACTTATCAATAATCATTATAATTTATTTGAATCAAACTTTGAGTAGAAAGTAGATCAGAATTGACAAGTAACACTGTAGCAACTTCTGGCTCTATTTGGTTAAAAATATATTATTTATCTTCATCATATATTTTGCTCAAACCAAATTGAATTATTATACTCATCTATTGGCTTAACTATTTTGTTTTAATAGTGTCATGATCTGTTAACTCTTTTTTTCTTTTTTTTTCTGTACGGTTGATTTGACATTTGTAGAATTACTCAGAATTACACTGTTTTTTCTGTATGGTTGATTTGACATTTGAAGAATTACTCAGAATTACACTGTTTTTTCTGTACGGTTGATTTGACATTTGTAGAATTACTCAGAATTACACTGTCTGTTTATATTTCCATATAAAGTATATGGTGTATTTAAAATTTCATAGAAAAAAATCATTTTGTTATCTTGGTTATCTAAAGTATTTACTATCTTTTATGGTATTGATGAATATTTTTATTTCACTAATTACTACTATACTTTTGGTTGTTTTTTTATAGTTGTCACTTTAGTTATTTCACTATTTTATTTTTCATAGTTCCCACTTCATCACTTTCCTTTTGTGTTTAGTAATGGGCCAGACTTGGCCAAGTACACTCAGTCTATAAATCCAAGAGTTCATGGTTCACTTCCTATTTCCATATAAATGTGCTCCACACATTTTGGGGTCATGGGCACATTATAAGAGTGACAGGCAAATCTCACTATTTGATCAGACAAGAGTAACCCAAGAGCTGTTGACTAGCTGTCTTCATTCTAGTCTATCAGTTAAAACTTACAAGTAGCTATGCACAAATAGCTCAGTGAAGCTTTGTGCAAAACTTACAGAAGAAACCAATTTTTATTTCTCCCATATTAATAATTAATCATTTTTTACTAGTTACCAGTGTATTTCCTAGTTATCACTTAATACCATTCTTTTTCCTCTCATTAACCACTTTTCAATTTTCCTTTTTCTCATTATCACTTTGTTTCTGCTTTACCAATTTGCTTTCTTCTTTAATAACCATTTTAAAAAATGTTTCCTATTTACTCTTTATCATTTCTTTTTTCCTCTAGTTAACACCTTACTATTTTTGTCTGTTTCCCTTTATCATTCTTATCCTCTAATAAATGATTTGCTATAGGTATCTTCACTAATAAGTTTTACATTACTGATAGCCTTCTTACAGTCTTATTTGTTTGTATGGTACAGATTTTAAATTTGTAGAAAGTAATAAAAAAAAAGAAAAAACTTCAATGAAGAA